TTCTATTTTACTTTATGCGTATTCAATGTGGGATGACAAGAGTGCTTTGTAAAGTGATTCGCGCATGATCAGTTTACCCCATTTATCTCTGAACACATTTGTACCGCAATTTCTCCAAGAATTTTAACGGATTTGAGTTTCAAATTAGTGTTGGAGTTTATTGTGAATATAAATCGGTCGTGCAATCCCACAGCCTTATTTGAAATAGCTATAGATATCGTGTTGAAATTTTCATAGTTTTCGCAAAACTGAGGATGAAAATGCCACTATGATTACCATCGCTACCTTTATTAAGACTTGTCATTCAATTTAACAGGTATTCCAAGGTAATACTGACAGAGATACAGTAGTCAAACACGTTCTACAAAAAAGAGCCATCAAAGCAAAAGTCATTAGATTTTATATCAAGTCATGGCATGGACATATATCAATGCGAGCTGAAATCTATGGCTGCTCACTATAAAAGCTTGCACACGATTGCGAGAACTTTGAGCTGGGCATAATAGACTTCTGAGCCTTTTATCCGTCACTACTTGATTTTTAATGCATTGTGGGATCAGCTTCTAGAGAAAAATAGAATCCGCCATGTTCTGTTCCAAACATATCCTACAATGCATTGCGTATAAGGCACATGACGTAAAAGCTTCAAAGGTCTATCACAAAGACCCTTTTTGAGTCATAAGAGAGAAAAAAGACCCTGAAGCTAGATTTCAACAGCATTTTTCAATGGTTGCGCGCACAGGCAGCCCAATTTTTATTGAATCTGCACATTTCTTCATTAAAAATTCATAGTTGGGCTGCCTATGGTCGCGCGTGGTGTTTTAGCGATCCATGGCGTCACTATTACATGTAAAATATATAATAAATACGAACTATAACTATATTCTAATGTTTTTCTAGGAATATCTTGTATGAAAAAGAATTGTTCTTGCACCGTAAATTGTAAAATATTGACAACATAGAAGTAGAAGAGAGAACACCGAAATTTAAGTAAATCAATAAAAACAGATATATTAAAACCAGAAATTCATTCCTACAGTTAACATAAGACATTACTTGGAACGCACTATTTCCAAAAAGTGTAGACACTTTCAAAAATATCCCACACATGTATGCGGCCAAGTTATTTTTGAAGATATTTTATGTACTGTAGCTTTAAAGTTCCTCCAAGATGGCTGCTGTGACGTTAAGGGCCAGTTCACACTGCAACTTAAGCACAAGCTCCATAAACAAAGTGTATAAGGATTAAGAAGACAAAAAGGAAAGTGTTTTTCTCGGTGTATTCCTTCGTTGTCTTTGATTAGCTTATGCTCTGCTTTATGTTACTTTCTATGCTTATATCGATGCAAGCTTGACTTCATTCATTTGTCTTTTCTATTGTTAGACATGCTTGTGTCATAGTGTGAACAGGCCCTTATTAAAAATGAAGAATACTTTTGAAAGTGTCTATGCATAGCAGAAATGGTCTATTGTGTAATTCAAGCCTAAAACTCAAGCCTTTGTTATTTTGATGGGACTTTCATTGACTTTGCTAACAATGAAACAGCTGCTAAATCAGCATCACCATTACAACGCGCAAGTTCTTCTATYGCTTCTTCTCTTTTGAAGCCCATGTTAGTCAGCTTCAATATCTTTTCCTCTGGAAARCTTCCTCCACTAGGTGCTTGTTCTTGAAGTTGTTGAGAACTAGAGCTAGAAGTACTGGCATCTTGAGCCGACCTGGCTAATGCCTCTGCTAAGTTTCGGTCTTCCATCTCCTGTGTAGTGTCTTGTGGTTCCTGGGTTGAGAGACGGGCATTRTTTGGGAGTTCAGCCTCAGGGAGAAAAGCTGTTCTTGTGCCAGTGGTTCCAATGATAAGGGTATTGTCTTTGAGATCAATACAGCACTGTTGTGATAAAAAATAAACAATAAGTTGAAGGGATGGTAAAACAGAGACACTCCAAGCTACAAAAGCACAAGAATTTCAAAATTGTAATAGTAAACCCACAGCAAATCAGAATTAATATACGATTTAGTAATTATGATGACAAACTTTTATAGAATTTTACAAGTCTCTTACAATTATTTGTTTATAGTACTTTTAAGTACTATAAACAAATAATTGTTTAAAAAGAAGCTCAAAGTTCTAAAAATTATGTGTCAAATCCTCTTTATCAAATTTATTTATAATTTGTTAGGTTAGTTCACAATGGAAAATCATTGCTGTGACTTATTTTTTTTTCTTGACCAAATCTCTATTTGAGCAAGAGATTTCTCTTAATTTGTGTACAACTTTAACTTTGAGAGTAAAAAAAAAAATTGGGAAATGTTCAATCATTACTATATTTGGCACACACATAAGAGATTCTAAAAATGTTTTTGATAAACTCCAGTCAGAAATATAACTTTCTTACCTGGTGTCTCTTTAGCATGTCAAGCCCWAGSACAAGATCCATGACTTGGTCTTGTAGCACAGAAAATGATGATTGCAAAAAGTCATTTTCTATTTGAATCTGTGCAACATGTACCCTTCCGATTATCTTCTGTTGACCCACACCCTGAGCAATACCACTCCATCTGTGGTCAATAAGCCTTGTTATGTTACACCTCTCGGCACAAGCTGAACTCATAAATGTCATTTGTGCTCCTGAGTCAACAAAGGCTTTAACAGGATGCCCGTTAAGTTTACAATTGATATACAACATGATGACGCGTGCGAAAGACTCGGGAGAGTACTCCATTGCAGCCTCCATGTTTTGGTTTATATTTGACATTCTAATTTCCTCAGCAATTTCACGCTGCGCTTCAGCATCAAAGATATCAGCGTTCATAGTGCGTATGCGCTGYCTATTTCTTTCGTTCATTTCCTGACGCTGCTTACCCAAAACCTCAGCAAACTTTGCRGGATTGCTTATAGCATCAGCTAGTTCTGGATTTCTTTCTTTWAGGAGGGAGAGTTGGTGGGGGTCRTTAAGGAACATTGTTCTTATGTACTCTGGGTCATCCTCATTGGGTCTTTGTCTAGATGATGAGGGCCTTTGGGTTCGATTATTTGCACCAGACGGCAACTGTATTTGCCCCCAATCTATTTCCATTGCTGTTCCTTGCCCTAGAAAGATTCATTGATTTTATCAGTTGATTGTATTGAGTTTATACATTTTATAAGCACATGTTTCCTTGCCTTGGAAAGATTTGAATCATTGACTTTTATCAGTTGATTCAATACTCCGATTTCGAGTTCTGGTTTGCTCTGTGTTAGCCTCAAAACAAAGCAACAAATTCTTTTGTTTCAATGATAGCCCGAGAAAACGCATGAAATTTGACAAGAAAGACAATAGAATTGATTTGAAATCTCACACTTTTATTCTCGCAAATAGGAATATTTTGCGCACAAATGAGGCTAACACAGAGCAATGGAGAATTCGAAACTGAAGACTTAAAATGAAGCAGGTTATAATAAATTAATGTTGAAAGAGTTTGAAGGGCTCAATATATTTCGTGCAGAAATTCCTATAATCACACGTGACATCACAAAGGCCTTGCGTGCTTTTCTGTCAATAAAGATTTACTCAAATAGAATTTCTTTCTATTACCTTGGTTTGATGGTGGAGCTCTAACTCTTCGTCTTCGCATTAATACCACATCTCCCTCTTTCAATCCATAGTCAGTTAGGCTTTTCTTGGCATCTTTTAATTCAGTYCCTTCGAAAATTACCACAACCTGTGCGGCGGGTATTCCAGTTTCAAACTCACACAAAGCTTGAAAATTTTCTAGTTCTAGATCACCACTCACATCCAATGTGAAGAGAGAGCCATCTTCAGTTGTTATAGTGACTTTCATGGTGATTGATGTATTTAAGAACGCTAATTTTGAGACAGAAAATCAAGARAAGTCTTTCTTGTGTTTTTGCTGACAGGCTTTTCAGAGATTAGTCACCARGTCGTACAGAGAATACACAGGATACCCAATAATAAAGAAACATCGGCTGAAATATTTTTTTCTTTATTTTGATTATTACAATTAAGCCTCTTTTTAGATATAAGTGCGCTTGCAAAGACAGATGAATGTAAATTTCTTAGTTTCTGTTTTATTATCAACACAAATCAACAGAATTATTGACAATCTATTGCACTGGGATACCTGTGGTATGCTCAGACCATCCGCCATGTTGAAAGGTTGACATCTGCAAGCGACTTTCTTCCGTGTTTTTTGGTTTTCTGATTCATCCCAATAAGCAGAAAATGATTGACGGTTCCAGGGCATCGCTAAATCAAGGGTAAGCCTAGTTATGTGCGTTTTTRMCTTTGAAAATATCATTAAAATTGAGCTTTTCTGTTACTGTTTGAATGTTTGTTTTTCGCTTGCTTGGCAACGGTGGTCTTCGTATTTTACAGATATAAATCACTTCTTTACATGATACCGTAACTTGAGATCTTCGAAAATAAATTAYTTCTTATAACGGAGAACCTGAAATGTTATCACAAACGCCGCATTGTATTTGAACAATAAGATCATTTAAACTTCATTATTTAGACTCAATTTATGAAACAAATAGAAACGAAATCCTTCACTTTCATTTTTAGTGATGAAGATTCTGTGTGGCTAAATGCACATCAAGACCCAGTGGCCAGCCTCTACACATTCTCTTCTTCAATTTCATTGGCTGATCTCAATGCCGATGGAGATTTCAAACTCTTAGTAGCAGACCTTGGTGCCGGRTCATACGACATGAAGCTGAAGGTCTTTAAAGGCACTAGYCTATTCATGGAGAGTGCAATAATTGACCTTCCGACTGCACTGGTGACATTCTACATGGACACTAAYGATCCAAGAACGCCGGCAGTTGCTGTGGCTTCAGGTCCATTCATTTATGTCTACAAGAATCTAAGACCATACTTTAAGTTCACCCTCCCTCCCCTAGATGTCAACCCAGTTGAACAAGATTTGTGGAATCAAGCTAAAGATGACAGGATCGATGTACAGATGCTCAGAGAGATGTTGGAGAGCTTGAAGAACGAGGGAAGTGAAGGGGAATTAACTGTCAGATCTTTGAAGTTTCTCTCACTCCCATTTGAAGAAGTGGATGGTTTTGCCAGTCTATACAAAATGGCTCCTCTTAAACGCCAAACTGTGATCACTTGTATGAACACTATGAAGAAAAGCATGGCTGATGATGATGCTGTAAGCTGTCTTGTGATTGGAACAGAAAGCAAAGATGTCTTTGTCCTTGATCCAGAAGCATTTACAGTCCTTGCCAAAATGAGCTTACCTAGTGTTCCCTCCTTCATGTCTGTGACGGGATTGTTTGATGTAGAGTTCCGTATTGTAGTGGCCTGTAGGGACGGTAAGGTATATACCTTGAAACGTGGCAGTAAAACAGCCAAGGCATGCATTGAGCTAACATCACAAGCTGTCGGATTGGAACGCATTGGTAAAAACATTGTGGTTGGTTGTATGGATGATACCTTGGTCTGTTACTCTACCAAAGGAAAGAAATTATGGACTGTGTACTTGCCATCTAACATAGTAACCATGGCACTAATGGACTACAAAGCCAGGAGTTTCAAAGGAGTCTTTGTCAGCCTAAATAATGGAGARACTAGGATCTACAAAGATAAATTCCTGGTCAACACAATCCAGACACCTGATCCTGTAACAGCCATAAGATTTGGTAGATTTGGCCGTGAAGACAGTGCATTGATTCTTGTCACAAGCACTGGTGGTCTATATGTGAAGATATTGAAGCGCACTGCAACATTTGAAGGCAAAGACTTCACTCCAGGGCCACCTCAAGCACAATCAGTCAAACTAAATGTCCCTAAGAAGACTAAGCTCTTTGTTGACCAAACATTAAGAGAGCGTGAGAGTGCCACCAGCATGCAYCGTATGTTCCAGCATGATTTATACCTGCTGAGGCTAACTGCTGCAAGATCGTATGTCAGTGCACTGCAGAAGAGCTTRAACCCCATCTCRTCATCAGCAATGGAGCCTCTGAAGCTCTCAGCTCACATCCAAGGTATTGGCCCAGCWTTTAAGCTCACTGTAAACCTTCAGAATATCTCACAAAGCATTGCCATCGCTAATTTACTGATCACCTTCCAGTACGACGAATCGTTGTATGCTCTGGCAAAGCCTAGTATTACAGTTCCTATGCTYGTCCCTAGTTTGTCATATATCTACGAGACTCTTGTAGAATGTATTAGCGATAAGGGTATATCTGATACCATTAAAGTGTTTGTRTTAAGACAAGGTAAAAGTATTCCTATAATAACTGCCGTTATCAATATGCCTGTCAGTGAGGCTCTAGTCATTGTATAGTTTATAATGGTACAAATCAACTGAATGTAACTAATTTAAAGATTAAAAACTATAGATAGAGAATGTTCTCCTATCTTTAGGCTTAATTAGGGTGTACAGAAAAAGGCCTTCCCTAGGCTAGGAAATTCAACCMAAAGATCTATCTCTGTCAAGTGCTACATGTATTTATTAAGATAACCAGACTGCATGCATGAATTTTTGAAAATATACATGTATAAATGTATAGAAGTGGATTCAAATGTACATAGATAATATAAAAGAAATAAAGTTAACATTCACTTCCAGTGCAAATAATTGTCCAAAGTATAAGTTAGTTATTCCTAAAGCTTTCTTTTCCCCTTGCTTTCATGTTTGCCATTTGGGATGCAATGGTTGATATATCTGGTTGTACAGTGGACGCACTTATACTGTGGAATTTTKCTAACCTATTTGTACGATTTTTGATTTTGTATATAAACAATCTGTTAAAATATCCAGAAGCAACAGTGTATACATAACAGGTTTACATTTCCTCATCGCCAGACTTCTCTCTGCTGTTTCATTCATTAAGCTGAGGTGTGCTATTTGACCCAGACACAACCACCCTGGCAAAACTCCAAGCTAATCCTAAGTCCCAAGATCCATTCTAGTTTTACAAAAGGAGTRTCAAACAAATACAGTACTGATCATGAGCAAGTAAAACAAAGGAACAAACRAGTGTTTCCATGCTTTATTGATAAACGTTATTTACAGTGTACAAGGTTTTTGAGTAACTCACTTCACTGTTATCCAAAAATAAATATTTTTTTTTCGTGTACATATGTTCAGCTTTTGGAACTGTTCTGTATTTTATTCAGAATTCCTCACATCCATTCCTAGTGAAGGAGTCTAAATTTYATTGGGAATGGAGATGCAAAGGTTTCTGACTGATCAAGTGTTCTAGAAGATCTCATCAATACTGGAAACTTCTGTGAGTCTGAATGTCATCTAGAAGTTGTTTTAGATCCTCRTCATCAAAACGTCCCTCAAGACTATAATAAGAACAATAATATATGTAATTAATAAGCTACTAATATATAAATCAAAATTCTGTTGAAAGAGGTTCATGTCTTACCTTGGTATAAGAGCCTTTGCCTCTTCTGCCGACTCTGGACAAAGATTAGCTAAACAAGCTAATTCAAATTTATGAAGTTTCTTTTTACCAAGTAAACTACGTACTTGGGCGATTGTTTCTCTGTTCTTGTAGCGATTGAATTTCTGTGTGTAGTCTAGAGTCTTGACAAACACTTCAGATAGTTCTTGCTCTTCTTCGGCCGCTTCGTTCTTTTTCTTTCTGTGCTCAAGAAGCATGTACACTTCCGAGTTTAACAGGGTTTCAGCATTTTCAAATTCTGTTGGCAAGGAAATACAGTAAGTTTACTGATCCATCAATTTCAGAAGTTTTAAGTTAATTAAGCTTAGATCTGAGCTGTATAAGCGCTTTAAAAATTACATTATTATTATTATTATTATTATTATTATTAAACTTAGCTAAAAAATGTGCTCACACGATTTTGAAAAGAAATCGACTTTAAAAAATTATTTTCTAATCAATACTGATGAATCATATTAACAAACCATGCTGTATAGATTAATTAGTGGTTATCTCGTTCAATTTAATAACAATATAGCCTCAAACCTTTAGGAAATTGAAGTTCTGTTGCGTCTTCTTCTTCAACTTGTGTTTGACCGCCGGTCGCCATATTGGATTTTATTTTTGCACATGCGCACTTGCAAACAAAGCTTTTACACAGGGAGCCCAAAAACAAAACAAGAGCGTAAACAACAAAATTTCGTAATACAAGGTTCCCGCGAAACACGCAAAAAGTTCTAGTTTTTCATTGAAAAATATCATATAATGCGATTTCATCCTGCTTTTACTTTAAATTTGTTGGATGAGAGGCAGAAAACTAAAATATTGTGACATCTAATCCGGTTTTTCTTGTTTATCTCGTTTGGGGTCATGACGTGACGGATAGGATCACATTGCAGATTGAACGAGTCACAGCTTCTGTTAAAACAGTAAGCATAAAGKCTTAACAGTGAGTTTATCTGAGGTTCTGATAATTCACTTCTTGATCCAAGGTAATTTTACACAAGATCTGATTGAATTTTTATGTGAAATTATCAATACAAGTTGGTCRCAAATGYGAASAAATTTCTTGCGCACCCAAATGATATCATCGTAGTAAGCTTATTACTTGTACAATCACATGCGCGAGATTATCACTGCTTTTATTGACCATATTCTTGCATTTTGTTTATAATATCCCAATTCAAAGTGTGCGTTAGGTGAATTCAAGAATTTCGTTAAATGTAATTGCCTACTTTGTTCTCCGTGTTCTATAGCGTCATGATTGCGTATATGACACATCGTTTATTGACAGCTTGTCATTGATCCTAAACACGTCTTAACCGTACAGGCCCAGAAAAATCAACTGAACACTTTGCGCACCTCCTCATAATTTCCCGTTACAAGAAATAATTCTGACAGCTATTTCAGGCTTGAGACATCCTTTCAAAACAAAAACATCCGTGCCAAACCACCCAGGATGACTCTGCGTTGATATTAAATCTTTGGTCTTGAAATTTAGTCAATTATTTTTCTTCTATTTTCATTGATGGTAATATTTGACCTTTTTAAAATATTAAAAAATAAATAAAAAATCTATGTATAAATATAAATGGGTTTCTCTGAAGCAAAAGGCCAGTAGGCAGATTATTTACCTCAAGCCTTTTCAATCTTACAACTATACCTACATTAGGCTGGTACAGTTTGGACAACATGCTATAGACATGGAAAAAACAGCCGAAAGTACCCAAGAAGAACCCTCTATCCCAAAGCTGCTTGAGAAAATCAACCACCATATTCAAAAAGATGAAAGGTTTTTCTCAGCTGAATTCTTCCCTCCAAAAACTTTCAACGGTGCAACGAACCTTTGTGCCATTCTGTACCGTTTGTATGAAAGCCAAACTATTCCCTTATTTGTGGATGTAACCTGGAAGGCTTCTGAGGATCCACTTTCAGACTCATGCCGGGAGCCAACTGCTTTGTTGATGTGCGCAGCATCAAGACAAGTGAATCGTTTTGACACTATGATTCACATTCCTTTTATGGGGACAACCAAGACACAAGTGTATGAGCATCTTCTGAAGGCCAAGGAGTTAGGTAAAATAAGAAATTTTACCACACTTATGTAAATTCTTGCATGCTGATTGGCTGATTAGAGTATGTCAATAAATGGGCATGCACACAGTGTGGATTGCACATACACTCATTTGAAAAAAAAGAGTGATTTTCACTAATTTTTAGATTTAAAAATGTGTGAAAAAATAAACAAATTGCACATGTTTTTTTGTTGTATGTCGTCCTTATTGACACATTCTTGATGTCATAAAATGCTCAAAGCATTGCAATCCACTTGAGTTTTGAACATAATTTTATTGTGTCAATAAGAGGACATACAACTCAAAACCGTGCGCAATTTGTTATGATTTTGATAACAGGAAGAAAAAATCAAAACAAAAGCAAAACAAAACAAACATCAGGATGTCAGTCAAAAGCACTTAGAGCATCAGTTAACACAAACATATTTTCTTTCCAAATTGGAAATTTTGACCAGTGTTTCCTACTGACCTATATTCGTATTATAATTAACAATTTGACCTCGAGGTAGAGTGGACTACAAGCTAATAGCCCATGAGGCCGAGTCCACGAGGCCGAATGGGCTATTAGCTCGTAGTCCACGAGGCCGAGAGGTCTAATTGTTTTAATATAAACATACTAATCGGTCAAATAATGAAAACAAATTGAAATATCCTTAAAATAATTTATAATNCTTGAGAAAATCAACCACCATATTCAAAAAGATGAAAGGTTTTTCTCAGCTGAATTCTTCCCTCCAAAAACTTTCAACGGTGCAACGAACCTTTGTGCCATTCTGTACCGTTTGTATGAAAGCCAAACTATTCCCTTATTTGTGGATGTAACCTGGAAGGCTTCTGAGGACCCTCTTTCAGACTCATGCCGAGAGCCAACTGCATTGTTGATGTGTGCAGCATCAAGACAAGTGAATCGTTTTGACACTATGATTCACATTCCTTTTATGGGGACAACCAAGACACAAGTATATGAGCATCTTCTGAAGGCCAAGGAGTTAGGTAAAATAAGAAATTTTAACACACTTGTGTAAATACTCCAGTTTCGAATTCAAAGCGAATAACCGCTGTTTTATTTGACAGCAGATTCTCTTACACAAAGAACTTACCAAACACAAAAGAAAGCACGAGAAAATGTTTTAAGTACAATAGTGCTTACAATTTACATTTTCCCCGAGTTGAGGCTAACCCTGTGTTCCCAGAAGGCTCATACCTTAGGTCTCATAGGAATACAGGGTTAGTCTCAACTCGGGGAAAATGCAAATTTTCAAGCCTATTGTAATAACGACATTTTCTCGTGCTCTCTTTTGTGTTTGTAAGGTCTTTGCGCAAGAGAATCTGTTGTCAAATAAAGCAGCGGTTTTGGGCTATGACTTTGAAACTGGAGTATTCTCGCACACTGATTGGCTGATTAGAGTATGTCAATAAGAGAACATGCACACAGTGTGGATTGCACATGCACTCATTTGAAAGAAAAGACTGATTTTCACTAATTTTTAGATTTAAAATGTGTGAAAAAACAAATTGCACATGGTTTTTTGTTGTATGTCACCTTATTGACACACTCTTGATGTCATAAAATTGGCAAAGCATTGCAGTCCACTTGAGTTTTGAACATAATTTTATGACGTAAAGAGTGTGTCAATAAGAGGGCATACAACGCAAAACCATGCGCAATTTGTTATGATTTTGATAACAGGAAGAAAAAAACAAACAAAAACAAAACAAACATCAGGATGTCAGTCAAAAGCACTTAGAGCATCAGTTAACACAAACATATTTTCTTTTCAAATTGGAAATTTTGACCAGTGTTTCCTATTGACCTAATATTCTTCTTATAACAAGTAATATTTGTCTTGAAAATTACTAAAATATGATGATTTGCATAACTTTCTTAGGTGTTGGTGGCATAAGAGCTTTGAGAAAAGGTAAATAATATTTATATTATATTCGTATCTACTTATTATTGTTTGCCCCATTATTCACCCAAACTGCTAATTTTGTTTTTCTTTCATCTTTTTTTCCTYCCACCCATATTCCCATTTTTCCAGTAATTTMTTTACTTTTTKGTATGCACATATATYCCTTTTTTGCATTGCTATGTTATTTTTATTCATCCTTCCTTTCCTCCCTTKTGCTTATCMYTCCWAACCCCAATTCCACTTTCCATTTCCCGTTTAATGCTCAGTTCACTTTTCCTTTTTTTTACAACTCAATTAATATTTCCATACAAAGCTTTGAAGTGAAAATAATGCAAATTAATATAAAATAAGAGACTAAAAGACTTTCCAGGTTCTTCGGATCAAGAAAATGCTACAAATCAAGACAGCAATGATGCCTTCTCCAGTGTGGAAGAACTTATCAAGTTTGTCAAGAGAGAGTTTAAAGATCAATTTGCCATTGCTGTGACAGGTAAGTTTGTTATCCAAAATTTTCGTAGGGAACTGTTTGCTAGCTCTATRACACAATTATAAGCATTATCACAAGCATAAGCAGAGAACAAAAGAAAAGACAAAGGCCGCATTGAAGTCAAACATGCACCGAAAAAAGCATAGCAATTATCATAAGGCAAAGAATAATAACAAAGAAATTGCCTTTTTTGTCTTCTTCATACCTTTTAATCGCCAATTCTATTGTTTTTAGTGCTTATGCATATGTCGCAGTGTGAACCAGCCCTATGGCAACTATTTTTACCCTGATTTATGTATGATATTTCTTATTTTGACAGGATTTTTATCAGAGTCAAAGGACAAGGAAGTTTATGATGATGACCTGGGAAAACTGAAGCGAGAAATTGAAGCCGGTGCAAACTTTATCACAACTCAAATGTTCTTTGAAGCAGAGTCCTTCTTCAAGTTTGTGAAAGATTGTCGTAATATTGGTATAAAAGTGCCAATTATTCCTGGCATTCTACCTATTCAGGTATATTTTGATATAAAGAAGCCTTACATGTTTTGTATCGTATTATGTACGTAGTAAGCCAAGCTATTCGGTCTTCTTTAATTTTGCAGAACTTGAGTTCCTTACGTCAGCTGAAGAAAAACGCGTCAGTAAACATACCACAACACATATTTGACGCACTTCTTCCCATTAAAGACGAGACAAAAATCATTGACTACGGAGTCAAGTATACCACAGAACTTTGCCAGAAACTATTAGCACACCCAGAAGTTCCCGGCATTCACTTCTACACTTTAAACGTCGAAAAACCCTTAAAAAGAATTCTTGGAAACCTCAACATGACGAAAAACTTAGACGATACTGTCATGTTTCCATGGCAGCATAATGACGTTCGCTTGGGCGATGACGTCAGGCCAATATTCTGGGCAACAAGGCCAAGAAGTTATTTAATTCGAACTTCAGAATGGGACGACTTGCCTAATGGCCGATGGGGATTTTCGAGTTCAGCGTCATTCGGAGATTTGAAAGACTACCATTTGTTTCTACTTGGTAAGCAGAAAGACGAGGACGAGCTGTTGTCAATGTGGGGTAGAGAACTAAAGTCTGTAAAAGATGTAGCTGAAATATTTGTTTGTTATTTGACTGGAAAGGACAATAAGCATGGACACAAGGTGAGTGGTTAGTTGCCTTCAGAGCTGTGATTAGTCTCGGTTATCCCGTGTTCCCCTCAAAGCCGTTTAAGTTCTGAAGTCTCTCTTCTAAAGAGACAAAGATGAGGCGTATTTTCCAACATACGGGTATCATTCATACTATGTAGGTCTGTAAGCTTGCTCTGCTTGGTTACATCACAGCGGCCATCTTGGAGGAACAAAGGATTTCTCATTAATATCTATTGTTCATTCCTCTAACATGGCCGCTGGTCTTTTATCTTTTGAATCTCATKGGAATGGGTGAAAACGATCAATTGGAGGCGTTTTGCGGCTATTGTCTTGATGACATAAAATACTCCAATTTCGAGTTCTGGTTTGCTCTGTGTTAGCCTCAAAACCAWGTAACATATTCTTTTGTTTYATWGATAGCTCGAGAAAACGCATGGAATTTTGTAAAGAAAGACAATGAATTTGACTTTTGAAATCTCACACTTTTATTCTCACAATAAGGTATATTTTGAGCACAAATGAGGCTAACACAGAGCATTGGAGAATTCGAAACTGGAGTATTGTAAAAAAGAATCTTTATTTAATAAAAAAAGGGTTTGCGCATTTTATCTTAGAAATGTTTTTCCAACTTAGTATATAGAACACTGAAGCTTTTACGTCATTTACCGTATTGCAATGCATTGTAGAATTGGGACAGAACATACCTTGGTGGATTTCTTTTGTTTTCTTTAGAACGGATCCCACAATGCATTGGAAATCAAGTAGTGACGTAAAGGCTTCCGGGCCGGCTTGTTCCGAAAGCCCAAATAGCGCTAATCCTGGGTTAACTCTTAGAAAAACCTATGGAGTTAACGCTGGATTAACGCTAATCGGCCTTTGAACAAGGCCCTGAAGTCTAATATCAATCAGGAAAACCAAGACTTCCGTACAATGAAGTTGGCATTCATGCCGAACAATAGAAACTTGCCTACTTCTTGTATGCATTGTAGCCTGCGTAGCGGCCCTAAGGGGATTGGGGAGGGCCGGCCGAGCGAGGAGTGGGGTCCCCGCTCGGACCTCCACAATCCTTTAAGGGCCGATACGCAGGCTAGTGCATTGTTACTTAAAGACTCAGACTGATCTCTGCATTTTTAGGTGACAGAACTGCCATGGGTTGAGGAAGAGTTAGCTAATGAAACTATCCCCATGGTCGACGAGCTGGCCGAGATTAATAAACATGGTATACTGACAATAAACAGTCAACCGTGTGTCAATGCTGTGCCATCAGACGATTGTAAAGTAGGGTGGGGCAAGCCAGGCGGTTATGTTTTTCAGAAGGTATTGATATTGAGCAAGTCTACTCTCCCCTTGCGGCTGTTATAAGTCTCGTTCCCAGGAGAGAACTGGGAACGAGCCTCATAACGGTTGCGAGAGGAGACTAGAGTGTTTTATTTCTCTGTCCGGATAATAACGAAGTGCTCTTTTTACAGTTGTGTAAAAAGATAAATTTATCACCGTAAAAAATATGTAGGTGAAATAACTTACTGACGTTTCGGACATTAATCCTATGTCCTCTTTACTCCGACGAAGGATTAACGTCCGAAACGTCAGTAAGTTATTTCACCTATATTTTTTACGGTGTCAAAATTTATCTTTTTACACAACTGTTTCTTTAGAAACACCAACGCAGCTCACACTTGTTTACCGCTWGTTCCCACCATTTTCCTCTTTTTACAGGCGTACATAGAGTTTTTCGCAAATGAAGAAATTGCTCACGAGTTATACAAACAATTAAAAGAAAGCAAGAGGATTAATTTTCACATTGTTAACTGTTCGGTAAGTAAACAAGCCTGCTAATAGCTGTTCCTGCTGGGGAGCCCCTCCTCATCCCCATTCCATCTCGGCCCCCCAGCAGGAACGCCTATGTCCTGAACAATTTGTTTTCTATTTTACACGATTCATTTGTCGAGAAACATCCAAACTGACTAACCGTGCATTCATGGCTTTTGCAGGGAGACGACGATGTCACAAATGCGGATGTGATGTCACCAATTGCTGTCACGTGGGGCGTGTTTCCGGGCTCCGAGGTCATTCAACCGACTGTGGTAGATCCTATTGCGTTTCAGTTCTGGAAGGTTAGGATAGACTTACATGTAATTTACCATTCTACTAGGACACCAGGTGTGAGCAATGATTCTGAATTTACCACTGAAAGGGACAGCCTATAGTCATTATGCTTTGGGGACTCGAGTGCCTGGAGGCGTCCATTTTCAGTTTACCGAAAGTCTATAAATTGTACTGTGCGTTTCGAATCTTTGACCATCTCACTTTTCTAAGCACTTTAAACGCTATTATAAGAGTTTTCAACCATCTGAAATTCGTTTTATGGTGATATTTGGATACTAGAAGTATTTTGGTGTAAATCATGACAATAATAGAGGCGCGCAAAGCATAGTAGTGCAAACTGGGCCTTTAAAAAACTTGAAAAAAATCTCTTGAAAATTCACTAAAATATACAGCGCGGCAAAGTTAATTTTATCGAAGAACTGTAATAAAAGTGATCAAATTTCTTTTTATTTTTTGTTTCTCTTTCCCAAGGATGAGGCGTTTTCTTTATGGAAGCAGCAATGGGGACGACTTTATCCTGAAGGCTCCAAATCACGTGACATCATCAATTCTATACACGATACGTATTACCTTGTTAATCTGGTTGATAACGATTACATAGCTGGAAATAGCCTCTTTGATATAATTAACAATGTTATTGAAATAGTTAATGAGAGGAATGGCGATCATGATAGAGAGGATTGAATCCTAGCAAAACGACTACTGAAACATAGTTAATAGAGGGGAATGGCTTGGAAACCTTTTGTTGTACTTCTTTTGTACATCTTTTGTACGAATTTCGAGGTTGAATCAGTCAAGACCGTGCACARCGTTTTTCTTACGGACGATGGAAATTGCAAAATGACTAAACATAAACACCCTATATGAGATTATGATATTTTATTTTTATCTTGGTTACAATTTTTTGTGCGGCATTTTGAAGAAATAGTAAAAAAAGTAATATTCGCTCTGATTATTCAGATGTGACCAGTATGGCTAAAACGACAGTTCAACAAAAGATTGTGCACTGGACATCACGCTTGGTAAAAGTGCACAAAAACCTACAACAAGAGGCTTCCTAACCATTTTCCTCCACAAACTGTGACTGAAATAAAGTGGAACGAATGACTTAAATCTTTACAACTAAAAGAAGAAATTACCTAGCCGTTTAATAAAACAAACAGTAAAATCAAAGAATGGATTGTCCTTAGAAATTGAGGTCAAAATAAAACGGATTGGCCCATTTTTCATCAACAGACAAATTGAAATGACCAGATAAAGACGCTATGAAACAAATCTTAAAAATCGAAGTACACCAGCAACTGAAACTTGCCCTTTATTCATAAAAGAACCCAATTAAAGAATCGAAAATGTTTTTGACCTCTTGGAAAAGGAGATAAAAGTCTAAGGCGTGTGAAATATGCAGATTAAGACAACTTTGTCTGGTTCATTAAAAAAATTGTCTGATAGACCTTTATACCTAATTACAGCGTGTCTAGGCGTAAATGAAGCTGCACTTTTTYTTCAAAAATGAGATTCTGGAAATAGTTAATGATTTTTAAAAGGACGGTGAAAGGCGTAATGATCAGATATGAAAATATTGAAATGCAGAAATTACTAACTAAGGTATATCAAACCAATATAAAATCTATTTTATGATTTGTAGCTCGCAACATGTTGTATATAGAGGATATTACACGGTGGCGCGAAGATATGGATTTTATCTTCGAATGGTGGTAACCATATTTTACGAGTGAGCGCAACGAACGAGTACGAGATTTTCAACACGAGAAGTTAAAATTCGTATCTCCAAGCGACTATATAACATTCTGTTTATCATATAATTACATAAAAAAGCAAGATTATGTCGTAAAATACCTTTTTTCTTAAGTCCACTATATAGCGAAACCACTAGTGAAAATATCAACTTTACGCAATGGAGAAACATGGGTATTCATAGATAATTATATGATAAAATGGTTTATTGAAAATAATATAAAATGCAACTATATCTTTATCAAAATGTATGTTTATCACAAAACTTGAGGATGTTATTTAAACGAATTGTTTGAAATAGGTTTAAATTTTGATATTAATAAAGCCGGACTTTTATCACAGATATAACACTACTGTCTATTGCTGGAGTACAGGGAGATAAGCACCTAATTGGAAAAAACATGATTTATCAAATTCATTAATAATTTATAAGGTAAACACAATGGAAAATCATTGCTGTGACCATATCTTTATATGAGCAAGAGATTTGATTTGCATACGACTTTAGCTTCGATTTTCTCTTACAAATGCTATTTTATCCTGAATTTTTTTTCGAAATATGCTTTATCTTTTGTTGGAATTTGATAAGCAAACTGTTCGCTTGCAGATCGCAGTTTTAAATGCCCATAAAGATCTCCCGCTTATATTTTTATTTACATAGAAATAAAGGAAAGTAATAGTGCTTA